CACCAATGTGGAGGGTTGAGAGTTTAAGGGTCAAAGGGGGGGGGGGAGTGAGGGGGAGAGGTAGCCCGAGGAGGACATGGGATGAGCAGTTGAGAACGAACTGATAATAGGAGATTTTTGGAGAAGCAGGACTAGGGTAACAAATTATGTGTAAGGAATTGTTGTTATTGTGGATGAGGAGGGGATTGGACAGGTAAAGGTGGGATGGGAAAGTGGTAGAGAGCTGACAACTAGGTTATCCGGTCATAACAGCAGGTCATATGGGGCWTTTGTGCAAGTTCAACCAGGAGTTGGTCTTTWGGCTTATGTTTTATTGTTCTCCCATATTTCGTGTCCAGGTCATTTAGTTGTCTTATACTTTCGGTTATGCATGTATTGTCCTTACTTGTTTAGTCTTTTTTTGTTGTTTGCTGTGCTTACTTGTTCTACTTTTCCAAGTCTTTTGTCCCTTTTTCAAAATTGTATGAAGCTCATCAATCACTTTCCAAAACTTTTTTCCTTTCAAAATTTAGACAAACTTTCAGAGTCGCTTAAGATTCCCCCAATCGTTCTTTGCAAAACCTTTTTTGCAAGCCGGGGTCTTCACATAAATAGCCTCTCTACTCCATGAAGTAGAGGAAAGGCTTGCATACATCTTACCCTCCCCAAACCCTGCTCACTTTGGGATTTACTTGGTTTGTTTGGTTGATTAGATTGGCTTTCTAGATGATTACTCATGTTTCTTTTCTCTGTTTCTTGCAGGATGCCCTAAGGACATTTTTGTTACGGAAGCTTGATAATCTTGTGAAAGATGACAAATGTCAAATAATGATGATATCTACATGGGCTACCGAACTGTACCTTGACAAGGTTTTTCTTATCTATGGTAGTGTTATTTGGATTATTGTGTCTTGGTAATTCCAATTTTTTGTTTATTATCGCCAATCTACTTGGGGGTTACAAGGAGCAAACTGTGAGATGGAGTTTGATCCTTTATGTTGTGTTCTCGAAACCTTTTTTACGAAGAAAAGAAAAGGAAAGGAAAGGGAGGGAAAGAGATGGAAAGTAAACAAACTCGTGTTCTCAAAGTTCTTTTAGGAGAGAWAGGAAWGGAAACGGAGGAAAARAAATCATAAGTTTCCTCCCAAAACTTCCCTTCCACAYGTGGAAGGAAAGGGAAGGAAAGGAAAGAAATTAAAACCCTTTTATTAAAATTACAAGACTACCCAACCTTTCATAATAAATAACGTATTTTTTAAAGGGTATATTGTAAAAAGGACATTTCCTTTTCTCACTCCTGCTCAAGAACATAAAAAATTGTTTCTTTCTTTTCATTCCCTTCATTTTCCTCCCCTTTCAAGAACACAAATAAGAAAACTATCTTCCTTTTCTTTCTTTCCCCCTTTCTTTTCTTTTCTTTCTCTCTATATTCGAGAACACAGCGAAACTGCTAAAATTATATTTCATTGCGGTAGAAAACTGTTGAACACTGACAAAACCATGTTGAAGTATATCACAAGTATTTTCATATGTGATTTCGAGTAATGTGCACCACTGACCTGACGTCCTAGGACCTGATATCTTGCAACTTCATCGAGCCATGCCTCTTTTGTAGGATGTTGTTCGTCTCTCAAAGAAACTCAAACTGAGTTATTTGGTGTTTAGATGAGATATGCCACTTCAAAATGTTGAGAAACTAGACGCGTCACAGTGTCCTAGTAATCAAGGTTACAAAAAGGTGCATTTTTTTGCATTAATTGTTTTCTTGCAGGATTTTAGCATGAGCATTGGTAAATTAAGTGGATGTAGGTCYAGGAGATTATCACAMAAGAAAGCCAACTTCTCCAAAAGCACTGCTAGTTTCTATGGCTTTCTTTCAAACTGCATGAAGTACAAATTAACATAGTGGGTCTGTGCTATGTTATTTGTACAAACCAGGAGGAGAATAGTGTGTTCTTGTGTGACTCTAGTACTGCGGCTACCCTGAGTTCCCACTCACATGCCATTATCTTGTTCCACAACATTAGACCATCAAATCTCTGCCAATATTGGTATTCATATTGCTAAAAATCTGAAACTAAAAACCAAGTCTCTGACCTCTTGAACTTGTGTTTCATCTGTCTCGTTCATATCCTTTTGTCAGGATAAAAGAAAAGTCATGGAGATTTTATGTTACAACAGGAACCATAACCAAATCA